CTTTGTGTTGGCCGTACACTCACACGGCCATGCCAAAACCTTTCTTAAATTTGATTTTTAATCTTATACAACCCTATGCCTGAGCCTCCCTTTGAGTTCAGCCTCTTTACCATGTTACCCCTAATCCTTCACCCGAGGAGTGTTCCAGATCAAACAAGCTCACGCAGCTGCTGTTAGTAGAGGCAGATTAACACCTCTCAACTGGTGCTGGCGATGCCACTTCTGTAAAAACAACACAGAAAAAAGAAAAAACAAAAAAAATCAACTTCTAAAAACACTAGGCTTTATGCCTCAAGCGTCTTTCAAATATTCATTCCTTTAACCCAGCAATTTTATTTACTGGGAATCTACCGTAAAGAAATAATCCAAATGCAAATAAAGACCACAGTGGCCCTCACCTTAGAAAAGGCAGAAATGATCTAACTAGTCGGTCAGGGAATGGGTAGGTAAGGTATTGGACCACCTATGATGTGACATGCGTGACCGTTAACAAGATGGTCACAATGTTTGTGATAATCTGACACGTTTCTATTCCGGCGTTCCATTTCTAGGATGCCCCTGGTCGTAAGACACACCACCATCTCAGGCGCCAGCAGGAAGAAAGTGACTGAGGATGGGGACCTAATAAGAGACAGCTAAATAAAGCTGGGACACCAAAAAGCTACTCCCTCGGCGTAAAGATAATAAGTACCCTCGCCAGGCAGAAAGGAAACCTGACTGTCTCAACCTTGACCCCTGGGTAGAAGGAGGGCAAGAAATCGCCCCTGAGAATTGAATAAGCCTGGTCGCCCACAAACTTGAGTCTGAACTTGCGCTACAGATAGGGACTCAAAAAACCTAAGCAAATACTATAACTGAATCTAAATTTCAGGTCCACTCAAGTTGGCAGTGCGTCGGGAGGCTATCAGAAGCAAACACAAGCCCCTTCTGGGGGAGCGTGGTGTCAACACAGGCTAACGGCGCCCCGAGAACGCCTACCGCTACACAGTGCAGGCTTCAGAGCTGGTAAAATGCAGAAACACAGGAGCCGCAGAAGAGACGTTAAGCAGAAAAGCAGAAAATTGTGCATGGAGCGTGACATCTCTTTGCAGAGATCAACCGGAAGGAAACACTAAAATGCTAACAGTGATTTTCTGAGGGCGCTGAGATTAGGACTTTTTTCTTTAAATGACTGCATTTTCCAGATTTTCTAAAATGAGTGTGTATTTATCTAGTGACCACGTAGGAAACAGGAGAAATAAAACAGGGTAGCCAGGGAAGGCATTTCAAAGGAGGTGACCCCTGAAGTGAGAAGGTGCCAGCCCGGGAAAAGGCATCCGGATAGCTCACTGATGGCCCCGTGTCC